CCGACCAGTCGGAGTCCAAGCCTTCTCGGATCCGCGCGACTTTGTCATGCAGATATTGAGCGAAATCCTCGGCCCTCCCCTCCAGGGGGTCCCCTCCCCCCCTCAATTGAAGGAGGGAGCGGGTCACCCTGAAGAGGGCGGCCGGGCGACTATCTGATGACGCGATGAGTGAGGAATAGTAGTTAGTCCTAGCCACTCTAGTTCACCCAAAACTTCATTTTCTAGTGCCCAGTTGGATTATAAATTTTAAATGAGACAGAGATTTTATGAGCAGCAGAGCAATTAAATTACCTGGTGAATGATTCTTTGACTTCGATTAAAGTAAAAAGAAGAAATAATGCAAGGCTTTAAAAATAATGAAATGATAAAAGTTTGAACTAAGGTTTTAACTAGGGTTTGAACTAAGAAAGTTTAAAATTGATTAAGGGAACAATTATTTTAAACTTTCTTAATTTAATTTGATTAAATTAAATAAATAACACATATTTCTGTAGAAATGAGGACTGTTCAAATTTGCTAAGAGGGACAACTGGTTGGTTTCATTAAACAAAAAAAAAGAGAAAGTTATGAAAGATGATATAACCCTCTTTCATAACTACAGAGTGCTGAATGAGATTACAGAGGTAAGGATATAGAGCAGACGCGTCATCCGGAAGCTGCGCCCACCCCATTGCCGGCAATGGCAAAACCGTCCCAATATGTTGCGCGACGTCACATGACGTCGTGAGTTTGACATGTCTGATATAGAGGGAAGAAAAAAAAGAAAGAAAGGAAAGAACTTTCTTTTATTTTTTTTAACCTGTCCTTTCTGGATTATAAAAATAGAAATGGCTGCTACTAGAAAAACAGCAAAAACCATAGAAGGAAGGAAAGGATTGTTTTCAAAGCAGAAAAAAGAGTTTATGCCAGAAATATTACAAAGGATATTTGAAGAATTAGGGAAGTTAGTGACGGCATCACCAACTGAATGTGTTAAGAGAGATTTGGCTACTCTTGAAGGGAGAATGGAGGAAAGGATTGCAAATATGAAGGACAAGATGAATAAAAAATTTGAAGAATTTATTATACAAATGAGTGGAGGTATTAAATTAAAGATGAAATAGAATTTTAGAAAACAAGACAGAAATAATAAATCAGATGCAAAAAATCTAGATGATCTAGAAAGATACTACTTGAGATTAAGAAAGAAAGAATTTTCCTTGATATTGAGAGTTCTTCTAGAGGATCTTGGTTAAGATATCAGGGAGAGGGTTGTTGAATCCTGTAAAAAAATGCAATGTGATGAAGAAATTGATGTAGAAGTGGACAAGGTGTTAGAATTAATATAGATATGCAAAGTTAAGAAACGTACCAAGAGATAAACTTGTGCATTTTGTCAAGAAGAAGAGATCAAGTCCTACAGTAACATTTTCACACTAAGCTGGGAATCAATAATTCAGAAGCAATTTTGTTCAAAGAAATAACTATTAGAATATTGCCTAAGAGAAAAGAATAGGCCTTTCTGACTGACAAACAGAAAAAAATATGCAATTTTTATTTAAGCAGCACAGATTTAACTCAGTCCAAAAGGCAAGAAACTTCCTTGAAAAGTTTAAAAAGGAACTGGAGGATACTAGTGGATCAAAATGAAGGTGCTATGCAGCAAATACAACAAGAGATTGAGGAAGATAAGTACCACATTGGATACTACAGGTATATATTTTTTTCTAAATTTTCAACATAAACATGGATATTAAATACCTAATTGGGAATATAAATGTGGAGAAAATAATGCACAACAGAGAAAAAAAGCTATTTTATGATTTGAAAAAAAATAAAACAAAATGAGAATAAAATGAACTGTTGATTGATTGATTTGCTGATGAAAAAGGATTGGATATGGGAAGAAGGGCACCATGTAATATAATTTTAAAGAGGGATGAAAGATAATAGGTGTGTTTGTAACTATTGTAAAATATAGAAGTCAAGAGTGCCTATCTTCTTTCTGATGTTCCATGATGCAGCCTTCAGGTCCTGTGTTTCCCCTCTTTTCTTTGACTCAGTTTAGTTTACCAGCTGTTGTACTTACACAACCTGAAAAGGACATCTGTTAGCACGGCCTCCCCCATCTCATCACTGCTTCAGTGGAATTTTGCCTTGACTGCTATCCCATTTAGATTAATTGAACACATTNCTAAAAACGATCTCAACTTGAATAATTTAGAAGCTTTTTTGTCCGTAACTGCCGCATGCCACCTCTCGGGGTTCCATACCCCGTCCTCGAGGTGGGCCCCCGAGATGTTCCTGGGCCAGGCCTGCGCGAGGGGTGAGTCGCGCAGGGCCAGCAGGGCCGTCTTCGTGTACATAGTCCAAAAGGGAGTCCGTGGCATAGAATAGAATAGAATAGAATAGAATAGAATAGAATAGAATAGAATAGAATAGAATAGAATAGAATAGAATAGAATAGAATAGAATAGAACTGGAAGGGACCTTGGAGGTCTTCTAGTCCAAGTCCCTGCTCAGGCAGGAAACCCTATACCATTTCAGACAAATGGTTGTCCAGTCTCGTCTTTAAAATGTCCAGTGTTGGAGCATTCACAACTCCTGGAGGCAAGTTGTTCCACTGATTAATTGTTCTAGCTGTCAGGAATCTCTCTGGGCCATTTCTCCCAAGGTTCTGCTCTTTAGACTGGGACCCTCCTGCCCACCAGATGTGGCTGAACCTCTCTCATCACTGGTTGGAGCGACCCCAGGAAACTGGCTGAAGGATCTCTGTGGCTTCTTCAAGACTGACATCTACTGACGCTGCCCTAGTGTGGGATTAGATTTGCGTGCTTCATTTGCAGACACTAAAGATGCAGAGATACCGTTTAATAAAAACCAGCCCTGGACGTTCAGCAGAGAAAATGCCATTCTGGTTTTGTGCCTTAGGATAGATTTTCCTCCTGGAAAATATGCGCTCAACATCTGCAATAGATTGGAAGAAACAGTTGGCAGCTTATATGTAAAAGGCCCAGACCAATATCTTGAGATTCTTGGAACAGAAAAAAAAAACCCCACACACTAAGTCTATTCTTAGCAGCTCTTGAGTAATACTAAAGTTATATCTTGAAAATTCCTATGAGAAGTCATATTTTCTGCCGTGAACTTATTACTTCCCATTTTTCAGGGGCTTTTTTAGCTCCTTTACAAATAATCATTAAATCATCCATCAAAGTTGTTATAGCATGCTTTGTGCGTCCAGAGATGGTTATGTATGTTGCAAGTGATACGTCATTCTGTGAAGAACGTCTATAATATAATTTCTCATTTTTCCCCCCCAGAAATAAATCCAGATCAACCACTGATTTAGACAATCCTCAGCCCAGTGGTAAGTTCTGTCCTGGAAAGGGGAAAAAACAGGCAGAGAGCCAGGAAAAGTGAATCTGTAAATAAAATATAACTCCAAGGGACCATGACTAATGTACTCTTAGTAATAAATGAGGCCTTAGGGTTTCTGTAGCCTTCACTCTATTTAGCTTCAAAGTATATATCCCTTGTTTCAGATGAGGTCTTGTTTCATTCTTAATACCAAATTATTAAGAACCAAACAAAGGTATTTGATCCTGGACAGATCAGAGTTATAATGATTGGAGTGATTTGTGGTGAATATGAAACTGTAGATTTTCTGTGAGTAACAGACTTTTAACAGAGTGCTTTGAACTTTAAGTTCGCTGTTGGGTAACCTGTTAGCTATTTTTTTTCCTTTCATATATGTAATGTATGGCAGGTCAACCAAACTGCAAATAAACGTAGAAGCTTATAAATTTTGGACCAGCTTTGCAAGGGGGTGGGGGAGCTATTCTTGTTGTAATAGATTTGTCAGTGTTTAACTGGGGACATAATATGTAGAATCAGAATAGAGCTGGAAGGGACCTTGGAGATCTTCTAGTCCAACCCCCTGCTCAAGCAGGACATCCTATTCCATTTCAGACAAGTGACTGTCCAGTCTCTTCTTAAAAACCTCCAGTGATGGAGTACCCACAACTTCTGTTCCACTGGTTAATTGTCCTCATTGTTAGGAAGTTTCTCCTTAGTTCCAGGTTGCTTTTCTCCTTGATTAGGTAGGTAGGAAGCAATGATGAACAAATGGTTTTGTGTTGTTGATTTTTTTTTAAAAAAATCATTTTTTGTTAAAGTTGCTGTCTTGTTCTTTTTGTCAATGTTAAATCTTTTTTTCATTTAAATTTGTATTTTGCTCTTCCGAATGAAATTTAAAAAAAAATCAAATTAGGGCTGAAGAAGAAATTCTCTGAGCAATCCTGGAATGCCACAAACTCCCTGAAAAGATCTCAGAAGGAACAGGGCTTGTCATCCGCTGAGCTGGAAAGGCAGCAGATTCTTCAGGAAATGAAGAAAAGGACCTCTCTTCACACAGACAGCAGCTGGATCCGGCAGCGCAGCTCCAGCATGCACAAAGAGCCCTTCAGTCTGGCCAGCAATAGAATGAGGAGGTAATGGAGCCCCCAAGAACAGCCCTACCGTGACTGAGCACCCCCAGTTCTGATCTCCCCCTTTGACCCATGGAGATTCTCTGGAGTCTCTGGAGATTCTCATGGTTGCCCCAAATGTGTTTCCCTCCCCCCTCCCAAAGGGCAATTGGACTTTCTTGATTTTATCCTTGAAAAGATTTTGCTTCTCATCCAAGAATCTTCTTTAGTTCTGACTGAATGGTGGGAAATGGAAGGATTTATAGTAATGGCCAAAATTGTGGGAACTTTTTGGGAAAAATGTACAGTAGAAATGTCACCTTTGGTTAAGTTTCCACCCATTTTTCTTCTAATTTCTTTATAACTGTAGCCTTGTTCACTTAATCATACTATTTTACATCGCTTTCTGGGCGACCAGTCAATTCTTTGCACCATTACTTTAATTTTATTACGTTTTACAAGCTCACTAAATGAAAGAACATAAAAAAATCCCAACCAACTTGATAGCGATCACATCACACACTGACAAATGTCCTCCTCTCAGCTTCAATGCAAGACATCAATCACTGAATCCTACTGTGATCTGATTGGCTCATTGCCAAAACACAATGACACCTGATTGGGTCTCTAAACACTCATGCTCATTGGCTACAATCAGATGAAGGAAAGCTACCTGATATCAACCTAAGCAAGTCGTGCTTCCTTTTTCTGGTTATTTGGCTATAACATTTCATAGAATACCATACAGATAATTGAACAAACTTTGTTGCATTGCATTCTTGATTAAATTATCTTTCCATTGATATGTAATTTTATGGTACTATTCCCCCCCAAAAGTGGTGCAATTAGCCATCAAACCTCAAAAATACACTTTTCCCAAAAGGTTTCCACAATTTTGGCCACTACTGTATATTCTTTGCACTCATCTGGTCATTAGCCCCCTGAGAGTCGTTGAGGCTACTTGTTCAGAGACACCCGATCAGAGTGCAAATAGGGGTGAAACCTTCTTGGGACTGCTGCAAGGACTGTGTTGTAAGCAGGAGATACGTAGTGTCAGATCCACCTAGTTCAGGGGTAGGCAACCTTGGCTCTTTTATGACTCGTGGACTTCAACTCCCAGAATTCCTGAGCCAGCATGGCTCAGCTTGGAAACCTCTCCCTTCCCCTCAGCATGGCTGGCTCAGGAATTCTGGGAGTTGAAGTCCATGAGTCATAAAAGAGCCAAGGTTGCCTACCTCTGACCCAGTGCTAATGACCAGATGACTTGCAAAGGATGTAAATCCTTCCATTCCGCACCGTTCAATCAGAACCGAAGAAGCTTCTTGGATGAGGAGTGAAACCTTTTCAAGGATATAGCCAAGAAAGTCCAGGTTACCTTTTGGGGAAGAAGAGATCCAACTTCTCTCTTTCTTCTCGGAAATGTTATTTTTCAATAACATTTTTCCCTCTCATAAGCTGCCTTTGCAAGTGCCTTCTCAATTACATCCTTTGATTTCTTTGTGCGCGCAGTTCAAGATATTCAAGGGTCAGCCCTTCCTTCGGTCAGTGTGTGGAATTCAGCATCTTCTCCTGTGTCGAACTGTGATTTTTCTGCCCCTTGCCATTATGTTAGCATAAGCGACTCCATTACCTTTGTCGAAACCTCGCCACCATTATCCTCCAGTTATAGCCGTATGTTTTGTGTAGAATGATCCGTTACAGCCACTATACGTTTTTCTTCCAGAGGTGAGAGCTTAGATAATCTTGACTCTTCAAAGACAAACTCCTGGAGACCTCATTCCTGGGTGAACCAATCTGCATCTTCTACATCTTTATCAAGCAGCCAAGAGTTGGGCCAGCATGTTGCTCCCGTGGTGTCCACCTCCAATCGGGCCTACATGCGCACCCCGTCTTCCAGCCTGCCCTCCCCTTCCTCTGCATCTATGAAAACGTCCACCTTGACCCACATCCCCCCATCACCAACTCTTCCTCAAGCTCCTTCGCCAACCTCTTCTTCTCAGTCTGGGACACAACAGCGCAACAGGTATCAGAAGCATCTACTGAATCCTTTTTTGTTCCTCCCTTGTCTTTTTGGGTGGGTGGGGGGAGAGAAACAACCTGGCAACCCCCGAGATCTGCTGTGAGTTCCTCACAATGTTATTGGGTGTGTTATACTACCAAAAATGCATACAGGTAGTCCTTGCCTTACGACCACAATCGAGCGCAAAACTCTTGCTGAGTGTGAGAGTTAAGTGAGTTTTGCCCCATTTTATGACCTTGCTTGCTTGCTACCAGTGTTAAGTGAAACACTGCAGTTGTTAAATTGGTGACACCATTGTTAGGAGAATCTGGCTTCCCCACTGAGTTTGCTCGTCAGAAATTGATCGCAGGACCCCAGGACACACTGCGACCGTCATAAATAGGAGTCAGTTGCCAAATGATCGAATGTTGATCCTGTAACCCAGTGATGGCGAACCTTTTAGAGACTGAGTGCCCAAACTGCAACCCAAAACCCACTTATGCATCATCGAGTGCTGGGTGGGTGTGGCCAGTTGGCTGGGCGTGGCCCATTGGGTGGGTGCGGCTGTGGTAGTAACGGCAGACTGGGTGGGACTAAAAAGTTCAATCAATTCCAACTTTGCAAGATCTTTTTTTTTTCCCGTGAGAAGTTGAAATTGACTGATTGAACCTTTTTTTTTTTTTTTGCACATGGCAGCGGAGGCCTAAAGCAAAAAGGTTTTATAAAACCCAGCTGAAGGCCTAGGACTGGGGCGACGGTGCGCGTGCCCACAAAGAGGGCTCTGAGTGCCGCCTCTGGCACCCGTGCCATAGGTTCGCCACCACTGCTGTAAACCAATGAGATGCTTCAGTGGCTGTAAGTGTGAAAAAGGATCATTAGTGGCTTTTTTCAGTGCCGTTGTAACTTCAGTCACTAAATGAATGGTTGTAAGTCAAGGACTACCAGTATGCCTTTCTCTACAGCAGGTCATCCATCTTCTTGAAATTACCATGATTCTGATGCTTGATATTACCGTAGTTGGCTGATTCATTGATTTTAGGGAGATTTATCCACACTGTCCCTTTATTTGAAACAATTGGCTGCTTTCCTCTGCTTTAGTCACTCTGCTGCTGTGAACAGGAGAACAAACCACCATTTTTCAGCCTGTATGTAGTTATGGTGACTGAATACAAATAGTGAGTGGCAACAGAACACCTTTGCATCTCTTTTGCTGTTCCTTTTTCCAAAGTGGCTGAACCGTTTTATTTTTTTAATCCTTCGATTTTTATCATTTTTCTGTAAAATAAGAATTTACGAGTGTGCTCAAAGCTACTTGCTTATTCTTTTTGTGGCTGTTGTTTTACACGCAGGTAAATCCACGACCACAACTGAGCCCAAATGTGAAATTGCTAAGTGAGACATTTGTGAAGTGAGTTTTGACAAAGGCTGCTGTAAACCAGACTCGGGAGTTTCAGCCGTCACTGAACATCGGTCATATAAATTTGATCAATAAACAAACAAACTTCCCAACAAGGCGCGTTGCTTCATTTTAGAAATATTGTCCAAATGGCTGGAAAAGTCAAGATGTCCTAATGAAAGCGCTAGACTCCATGTAATTTTATGTTTGATAATTGACTTTTTAAAGGTTTCCAGGTGTGTAATTGGAAACCAAATCCATAGAGAGTGTGCTGGTTGAAAATGGACACACTCAGTGTCCAAAGACTAGACAACCGTCATCCCAAGCAGTATACAGGTAGTCCTTAACTTATGACCACAACTGAGTCCAGAATTTATGTTGCTAAGTGAGAAATTGATTCAGTGAGTTTTGCCCCATTTTACGACTTTTCTTACCACAGTTGTTAAGTTAGTAAAATGGTTGTTAAATGGCTTCCCCCATTAACTTGGCCAGTCAGAAGTTCGCAAAAGGGGATCCCATGAGCCTGGGACACTGCGACCGTCATAAATGTAAGTCAGTGGCCAAGCCTCTGAATTTTGACCACATGGCAACAGGGATGCTGCCACAGTCTTAAGTGTGAAAAATGGTCGTAAGTTACTTTTTTCAATGCTGTTGTAACTTCGAACTAAACTGTTGTAAGTTAAGGACTACCTGTACTTTGATGGCCTCCTTTGAACCCGAGACCCCTGGGCTTGTTCCAGGAAAGTGAGGCAAAGACTACCTGAAAGCCAAAAGGGAGGGGGGAAGACTCCCCCAGCCCAGAAGCATCTCTGTGTTACCAGCATTGGCAACTGGCAAGAGGCTGGTTAGGCTGGGTCTTCAGTCTCGTTCGCCACCTTTAATATTGCCTGACTTACTTCAAAGGCGTTTCTCTTGGGCATCGCATTGCCTAAAGAAGAAACAGATGCTGCGGTTTGAGAACTGTCTTCCACCCATAAGGAATGAGTTGGGGGCCCTCAACTGTATGGGGCTGTTTTCCTAAATTTAGCCAAGGGTTCAATGATTTATGCTAACTCTTGAGTTGCGCAATAGCTGTGTTTCATTTGGAGAAGAAGGTAACTCTTTCTGGTGATTCATTTCTGCTTTTCTCCTTGCAGTCCTGGGGTTTTGATTCATTGCTCCTCCTGAGGCCATGCCTCGTCCTTGTTGGGTTGCTGGTCTCCTGCCATCTGCTTCTCAACCACATTCTTGTTCTATATTTAGGTCGGTGAGTGGCAAGCGAATGTGTTCCAGCTGCAGAAACGCTCTGGGCAAAGGAGCGGCTATGATCATCGAATCTCTTGGCCTTTGCTATCACTTACATTGTTTTAAGGTGAGAGGGGGAACCAGTGAGAGGCATGGCGGCCGATACACCCCCCCCTCCTGGCTTTGCTAGCCTCCCTTATGTAGTATGTGCAAGACCTAACGCAACAAAATCCGTCTGCTAATGGGAAACCTTCCACCATTGACTGTTGCTCCTTGAGTCCTTGATTTAGTGCTTTTTTGGGGGGGGGGGGAAACAAATGAGAATGAAGCTTCTCTGATGTAGAACATGTTAAGATAAAGCAGAACAGGCCATATGGATTTAACCCCTGGTGTCTTGGGCTTCCTTCTGTATCCACTTCCTTGCAGACATCGGCATCACAACAGGAAAAGTACCATCACTGCCACTGCCTAAAAGTAACCAACTTTGGCCCAGATTTTATGTCTTCCTCTGTGCTTAGATATAAATGCATATCAAAAATACTAAATTGCTAATAAGTATTGCAGATGCCTATGGAGATTCTCAATCATCCAGGTCATGGTTGTCCCAAAGGTGCTTTTTCAGGAGGCAACTGGACTTTCTTGTTTTTCCTTTGAAGACATTTTGCTTCTCATCCAAGAAGCTTCTTCAGCTCTGAGTGGATGGTGGGGAATGGAAGGATTTATACTCCTTGTGGATAGCTGGTCATTTGCCTTCTTTTACAGAGTCGTTGAGGCCACCTGGAGGCTTATCAGGGTCACCTCAGTGGTGCAAATGGGTGTGGAGCCTTCTTGGAACTGCTGAAAGGACTGTGTTGTAGACAAGAGACAGATGATGCTGTATCCCTCCCCCTCTGTTGAGAGAGGGCTGTTCAGTTTTGATATAAGTGGCCTCTTTGACCCTTCTTTCAAATCTTTCCATTCCCCACCCTCCAGTCAGAGCTGAAGAAGCTTCTTGGATGAGAAGCGAAACCTCTTCAAAGAAAAACAAGAAAGTATGTACTGCAGGCTATCCAAAATGGTCCTTACAAGATGTTTTAAAGCAATTAAATGTCCACAGGTAGTAGACACTTACAATTGGTCGTTTAGTGACTGAAGTGACTATGGAAGACCCCAGGGCCACTTATGACCCAGATTCAAAGTTCTAATGGTCACACAATCGCATTTTGTGCATTCAGCAACCAGCCTACATTTAGAGCTGTTTGTAGTGTCCCACAGTCGCGTGACTGTGATTAACATTTTTAGTCAGAAAAAGGCATCTATTTCTGGTTTATGCCCAAAAAAACCCCACCCCCATTCATTGCAGATTAGCAACCATGGCGGTCGCTTTATGACCGCTGTCATAAATTGAGGACTGCCTGTATATTAAATGCAATACTATTCTAGTGATATAGAATAACATTTTTAGCAAATGAGCCACATTGTGTTCACACTGACCCAATGGCAGGGACATTTGGACACAGTTTTCATCTAGAACAGGGGTAAGCAATCTTGGCTCTTTTATGACCCGTGGACTTCAACTCCCAGAATTCCTGAGCCAGTATGGCTCAGCTTGGAAACCTCTTCCTTTTTCCTCAGCATAACTGGCTCAGGAATTCTGGGAGTTGAAGTCCATGAGTCATAAAAGAGCCAAGGTTGCCTACCCCTGATCTAGAACATAGAATAACAGAGTTGGAAGGGACCTTGGAGGTCTTCTAGTCCAACCCCCTGCTTCAGCAGGAGACCCTATACCATTCCAGACAACTGGCTGTCCAATCTCTTCTTAAAAGTCTCCATTGATGGAGCGCCCACAACTTCTGGAGACAAGCCGTTCCACTGGTTAATTGTTCTCACTGTTGGGAAGTTCTCACTGTTCCTTGATGCATTTGAAACAGGCATATTTATGATTCTAAGCGAAGTGCAGCAGGAGGTCATTCAGGAAGGCTAGCTGAACTGAAACACGAAGAATCTGCATGGGAGTCTTCAAAAGAAACAGCTTGGTGCCAAAATCGTTGCTTTCTCCATGTGCCATACATTCAATTCTGTTTCAGAAAGCAAGACGTGACTCTCTACGGATCTCCATTTCTGTGTAGACCATGCAGCTTTTTAGTCTTGTTTTATTCCGCCGCTCCACAACTCTTTGCATAGCAGGATATTAACCACCCTGTTCCTCTTGCTTTCAAAATCCCTGGCTGAGAACTCACCTTCCGATTCCCACTTTGATCGGGTCTAATTGTCCAATTTCTCTGCACAGTGTGTTGCTTGTGAGGGGGATCTCGGCGGATCACAAGCCGGAGCAGAAGTCCGTATCCGAAACAGCGAACTCTTCTGCAACAGCTGCTATCTCAGATTTAAAAGTAAGAAGCTCCTTCTCTAGCCAGTCATAATACAAGCTTCCTGATCTTGAAAGGGTTTTTTAGGTTTTTTTTCAGAAATCAGATGCGTCACTTGGTTAGATAGTTAGCCATCAAAGTTGGACAAGATGGTCTGCTCTGAACGAATGGGTTATTCTTCCATTAAGAGCCGTGGTGGTGCAGTGGTTAGAACGCAGTATTGCAGGCTAATTCTGCTCATACTGCCAGGAGTTCGATCCTGACCGGCTCGTGGTTGACTCAGCCTTCCATCTTTCTGAGGTTGGTAAAATGAGGACCCAGATTGTTGGGGCCAAAGTGCTGACATTTGTAAGCTGTTCAGAGTGTGCTGTAAAGCACTATGGAGCAATAGATATTGCTATTATAAATTGGAAACAAGCGTAGTGTAAATGGTGCAGTAAAATGTAGCAATAGCTGAATAAATTGATGTAAGATTTTCATGACTTTAAAAGCATTGCAGCACGTTTCTAACTTACGATTGTGCGCCAACTAGGAAATTGGAGGAAGTGGCCTTTAAAGTCCCTCCAATTGAAGGGGAAAGGAAATAACACGCCTTTTTTTAAATTGTTTGCATTTCATTTTATGCACCACAAAACAAAACTTAAAAATAGCCCGCTTTGTGTTAAAATGAGGACTAAGTCACAGAATGTATACGGGGAAACTCGATGCTGAATTTTAATCGTTTTATTTTGTAAACAAACTTTTTATGAAAAAAAATGTTATTTTAAGCCTTTTTAAATCCCTGATGGTGAAATAATGCCGAAAGGCATGCCGTGAAAGGCCGGTCCCATTGTGACTTAGGTTTGCCTTGTGACATTACAACACCTTTTTTGTGATTTGCCACCCTGCCCTCTGCACAACAAAGCTTTTCATATAAAAACATGCTTGCAAAGTCTTGGTTTTTTTTTCCTTTAAAGACATTTCGTTGTTATCCAAGGAGTTTCTTCACATCAAAGAGCTTTTTGGGTGAGAAGCAAAATGTTTTCAAAGCAAAAAACCAAGAAAGCATTTTTGAGACATGCTTGGTTATCTCAGTGGTTAGAATGCAGTATTGCAAGCAAATTCTGCCCACAGCCAGGAGTTGGATCCTGACCGGCTCATGTTTGACTCAGCCTTTCATCCTTCCGATGTCGGTAAAATGAGGACCCAGATTGTTGGGGGCAAGAGGCTGACTCTGTAAACCACTTAGAGGTGTCTGTAAAGCAGTGTTTCTCAACCTTGACAATTTTAAGGCATGTGGACTTCAACTTCCAGAATTCCACAGCCAGCATTGCTGGCTGTGGAATTCTGGGAGTTGAAGTCCACATGCCTTAAAATTGTCAAGGTTGAGAAACACTGCTGTAAAGCATTATGAAGCGGTATATAAGTCTAAGTACTATTGCTATTCCTTCCTTCCTTCCTTCCTTCCTTCCTTCCTTCCTTCCTTCCTTCCTTCCTTCCTTCCTTCCTTCCTTCCTTCCTTCCTTCCTTCCTTCCTTTCCTCCCAGTGGTTAGAATACAGTATTGCAGGCTAAGTAGTTCGATCCTGATGAATGGCTCAAGGTTGACTCAGCCTTCCATCCTTCCTATGTCAGTAGAATGAGGACCCAGATTGTTGGGGCAATAGGCTGACTCTGTAAACCGCTTAGAGGTATCTGTAAAACACTATGAAGCGGTATATAAGTCTAAGTGCTATTGCTATTTATGCTGTTGCACGTTCCATCCATCTCTTCCCACCGGCCTTCTTTTTCCAAGCTTTTGGGAGACTTTGAAAGAGCAAAGGACTTCTGATATCAAACTGAAGGCAAATGGAAGGCAAAAGGCCAAATGTGCTGAGCTTGGTGTGAACTGCTGCGGAGGGACGATGGGCTACCAAAGCATGGAAGATGTTTCTCCTGGCCTCCAATGCATCTTCCATGCTGGGTCTAGAAGCTTCTAGACATCGTGACTAGTAGTTATCAGGCAGCCCTGGATGTCATTAACTTGTCCTTCTGTTCTTCTTCCTTCCTTGCTTTTGAGGCCTGAGACTCAAGGTCTATTCTTAGAGCTACGACTGCTAACTACGGAAGGGCTCGCAAAATGGCACTTTAGAAAACTTCTTGTGTCACAAATACATTTCAGCAGCCATTGGGAAGCTGGAAGAGAAAGACCTCTAGGGAGAGTCTCAATCATCCAGGTCATGGTTGTCCCCAAAGGTCCTTTTCCAAACGGCAACTGGACTGTCTTGGTGGGGTTTTTTTCTTGGAAAACATCTCACTTCTCATCCCAAAAGCTTCTTCAGTTCTCTGAAGAATCTTCTTGGATGAGGTGAAACACTTTCAAAGAAAACAAACAAGACAGTCCAGTTGCCTTTTGGAAAAGGACCTTTGGGGACAACCATGACCTGGATGATTGAGAGTCTCCCTAGAGGTTTTTCTCTTCCAGCTTCCCAATGGCTGCTGAAATGTATTGGTGACATAAGAAGTTTTCTTCTTTGGGTAGAGAAAGACCTTTTTATTTAAAAGCACTGTAAACAAGGATAATTAGAACAGGTAATCCTCCACTTACAACCACAACTGAGCCCAAAAGTCATGTCACTCAGCGAAACATTTGTTAATTGAATTTTGACTCATTTTACGACCTTTCTTGCCACATTTGTTAAGTGAATCCTTGCAGTTGTTAAATTAACAACACAGTTGTTAAGTGAATCTGACTTCCCCTTTGACTTGGCTTGTCAGAAGATCGCAAAAGGGGATCACGTGACCCCGGGACACGGCAGCCGTCATAAATACGAGTTAGTCGCCAAGCAAATGAATTTTGATCACATGACCATGGCGATGCTGCAGCGGTCGTAAGTCTGAAAAACGGTCATAACTCACTTTTTCGGTCCTGTTGTGAACTTTGAACGGCCACTAGACAAACTATTGTAAGTCGAGGACTAACTGAATACAAACATTAAAAAAAAAATACTCTGAATTTACTCTGTGCTTAGCAGTTTGTCTTCTTTTCTTTCTGATGTTGATAGCTGGACAGGCGACCACCATGTGATCCGAAGGAGGAGGAGGAGAAGCCTCTGCAACAGACAGAGAAGGAAACGGCTGCTTCAAATCTATAAATATTCGGAGTGGGTGTGTTTTATAGGACCAGAAGTTTGGCTGTCTAGACCATGTAGAAGGACGCACTTCCTCCTTCGTAAAAAAAAAAGCCCCTATTTTGAAATATTTATAAGAAAGTCATCCCGTTCTAGAGAGCTGTGCAGAACTTTGCGAGATTTACATTTGAAGACACGCGGAGGGGGTTGCAGTCTTTATCTCAGTTAAGCTACGCTTAAGTAATATTACCCTTTTAAAACTATCCACTTCACTTTCTTCAATCTCCCTTTGTGCTTTAACAGTTTGAATCCGGTTGGGGAAATTGTGAAAACTCGTCCCGTGTTTGAAAAATGTAACTCTCCATTGCACCTCAAACAGGTTAATATGACTGAAGAATTTTTTTCCTTCTGTTTTCTTTTGTATTTGTAAATAAAGTTGCTGATGCTGCACTTAGACAAACTGGTCGAATGTCCTTGCTGTGTCTCTGGGGGGGGGGGGGAAATTGTGCAGAAAGAATGTGTAACTCGAGTGGCTTCTTTTGAGTATAATATTCCCAAGCTAAGATCTCAAATGCATGGGGCACACATTCCTTCTTCATTATACATTGCCGAAATTAAATCAAGATTGCGAAGCTTTAAATTCTAGATTAAAAAGTACATAGAAAATAAACTAAATGGAAGTTTAAGTAAGGAGCACAACATTTGACAAACTTCTGGATCTGTCTAGACCAGGCAACCTTGGCTCTTTTATGACTCGTGGACTTCAACTCCCAGAATTCCTGAGTCATAAAAGAGCCAAGGTTACCTACCCCTGGTCTAGACTCTAGAACAGACATGTCAAACACAAGGCCCAGGGGCCGGATGCAGCCTGTGAAGTGGTTTCATGTGGCCCGCGAAGCCATCCTGGAAACAGTGAGGGAATGGCCCCCGCTGCCTTGGCGCTGGCCCAGGCCAGCCGGGAGCCAATGTACAATTTTGTGGTGGCCATCTTGGCACTTGCCCCTGTGGACCATGCCTTGGCACTTGCCCCGGTCCCACTCCTTCCCAGGCCCCCATAGGCACCCTTGATGTGAATGATTAGAACTGTCCACACCTGCCCAGTAGGCCACACCCACTCCATCCACGGCCACCCATTAGGCTGCATCCACTCTGGCCACGCACCCCCGACACCCCCCCAGGGCAACCGCAATGCTGATGTGGCCCTCATTGAAATTGAGTTTGACACCCCTGCTCTAGAACATTCAAAATAAAAGCCAAGTACTGAGAAATGAAACGTCCTCTATTATTTTACTTTTAGTTGGCCAAAGATGAACTGTGCTGCAGATAGCGGCCTGGTTCACATCTAACACTAAGACCATATTGTTTCATGTTAGCAAAAAGACAAGAACAAACCATGTTTTGGCTTAGTGAATTGTGTGAGTGCAGCTTCTCTCTGATATAACAAATAGTTATATCTGAGGCCCCATGGATTCACCTTAAGCAAACATGTCTATTATGGCCACCATGACAGATAATGAGCAATCCACACCCATGTTGTTTATAATGGTAAACCTTCAGGTGTGTGGCTTTATTGTAAAAAAAAATAACTAGAAATGTTATAGGTTATGATGCTGAAGTTTCCAGATGAGCCTCTTCACTAGGTTCACAAATCTTGAACATCACCATGTGCCTATAGCATGTGGGCTTTCTGACTGAAATTCCCTGGTTTTTTGGCAACTGTGAAGAAGCATTTTTGCCCACAAAAGGGCAAAATCTACATGTCTAGATCATATAGAACTGGATTCAAGGTTCACATCCCTTACACAGAGATGGAAGTAGAGATGATTTGGGCCATTGTACTTTTTGCAAGGAGACTGGCAAATCAATTACTCATCTGATGACTGGACAAAGGATCTTACAAGGATTTGTCTTGAAAGTCAACGTTTAGGTAAGATCCCCAGATGACATTATTTTTTTAAAAGCAAATAATAAAAGTTAATATTTTATGAAAAAAGGCAACAGTCTAGAACCCAAGACCTATGGGGAGTCTCAATAATCCAGATCATGGTTGTCCCAAAGTCAGCTGGACTTCCTTGATTTTTCCTGGAAAATGCTTCATTTCTCATCCAAGAAGCTTCCTCAGTTCTGACTGAATGGTGGGGAATATCATTCCAAGAAGCTTCTTAGATAAGAAGCAAAACATTTTCAAGGGCAAACCAAGGAATTTCAGTTGACCTTTGAAAAGCACCTGTGGGATGAGCAATCAAATACTTTGACTAGAAAAAGAAATCAGATTCCAGAGTTTAAAAATGGTAGGGGGGGGCAAACCCAGCTCCACCAAAAGCGGAGCCAAAAACCATGGGGAAAAAACGAAAAAGCAGTGAGTAGACCAGCTGTTCATAATTTTTCTCTGAACAAGGAGAAGACTTGAGATCTCCCACAAGTGCTCCAAAGAGTTGTTCCTCACGAGACCACAAGAGAGTGCGCGCGAGAGAGAGATCCCATTTGAGCAGGGGTCTTCAAACTTGGCCCTTTTATGACTTGTGGACTTCAACTCCCAGAATTCCTCCACCAGGCACGCTGGCTGAGGAATTCTGGGAGTTGAAGTCCGCAAGTCATAAAAGGGCCAAGTTTGAAGACCCCTGCTTTTGAGCATTGGGAGATGAGAGAATAGCATTTCGTCTAAGACAGTGGTTCTCAACCTGTGGGTCGGGACCCCATTTGGGGTCGATCGACCATTTCACGGGGGTCGCCAAGCAAGGCTGTCCGCCATTTTTTTTGTCCGCCATTTTTTTTCCCTTTTCCGGCGGGTGCCTTACCTCCCTTGGGCTGGGCTAGCTGGTGGTCGGCCTGCTGCGTCTCTGCCACTTGCCAGATACACCTCAGCCGGCGCAGGGGGCGGAACCACGCATGCGCAGTGCTCCCGGGCAGGGAAAGTCCTCGACCTACGACCGGTTTAGTCCTCAACTTACAACCGGTTTAGTCCTCGACTTACGACCGGTTTAGTCATCGACTTACGACCGGTTGGGGTCGCGGCATTAAAAAGGTTGAGAACCACTGGTCTAAGAATTCCACTTATGCAGTCTTGTTGGGTTAGGCTGGATTCATTAAGTTCTTTTCTCTTTAAGAACCAAAAGTATTTTTCCCTGACAAAGGGGATTTCACTGTCATTGCAATAAAAGGTAGCCAAACTTCTCCTTCGAAAGCTGGTTAATGATTTCACTCAGTTCACGCGACTTGCAGCTGACATGAAAAAAAATATATATGCCAGCACATCTTTCTTACTTCTGTTTTTGATGAGTACATAGCAAAAAAAAAACCAAAAACAACACCACTCCACATTTAGATGTTTATGAGAGATCATTAGTCATTTAAATTGTGAAAATGTTCAAAGTTCATTAAAGTATAATATGACTTGAGAAAGACAAACCGTTGACTTATTTTTCAGTCTTTTTAACAAAATATTTCTCATTAGTCCAAACATATTTGTATCAGCTCCTGGTCATCAGTGTTTGGTTTTGCATTTTCAGCATATTAAAATGCTACAGGTTAGCATCTGTTTTGGAATGTGTTTCTGTTAGCTCCTGTAAAATAAACAATATGATGTCTAATTTTTTTTTCTTGCTTGCTTAATTGTGCTTGCTACAAAAATGTGACAGGTTTATCCTGTAGGATTTTGTTTTGTAATATCTATGGAGAGTCTCAGTCATCCAGATCATGGTTGTCCCAAAGGTGCTTTTTCAAGAGGCAACTGGACTTTCTTGTTTTTCTTTGAAGACGTTTCGCTTCTCATCCAAGAAGCTTCTTCAGCTCTGAGTGGATGGTGGGGAATGGAAGGATTTTTATTCCTTTCAGACAACTGATCATTTGCATTCTTTTAGAGATTCGTTGAGGCCACTTGGAGGTTTATCTGTGTCCTCAAGGCCACTTGAACCATTTGCACTACTCGGGTGACCCTGAGGACACTCCCAAATGGCCTCAGGGACTCTCTAAAAGAAGGCAAATGAGCAGCTGTCTGCAAGGAGTATAAATCTTTCCATTCCCCACCATCCAGTCAGAGCTGAAGAAGCTTCTAGGATGAGAAGCGAAACGTCTTCAAAGAAAAACAAGAAAGTCCAGTTGCCTCCTGAAAAAGCACCTTTGGGATGTTTTGTAGTGTCCTTGATAAAGCTTTTTATTTTATTTTATTTTATTTATTTTATTTATTGAATTTATACCCCACCCTTCTCCTTGCGGACTCAGGGCGGCTAACAGCCTGATAAAAACAAATACAAAAAATACCAAAATACTATCATTAAAAACATAATTAAAATGAAATATTAGATTGGCCTTTGTTATTTTAAAATTATTTTTAAAACCCCGCTAAAAATTACCCCTTAGGCCAGTCCTGCTAGTTGAAATAGCCATGTCTTAAGGGCGC